ATCTTTCCTCCTTTCTTTAATATAAATGCATTTGGATGGATGGATAGATAGATAAGGAAGGAAAGAAGGAAGGAAAGCAGAAGGCAGCCAGAAGGAAAAAGAAGAATGAAGATATTTTGCCAATTTTTGTCTCTTCTCCTACTATCTAACATAAAATTTGTTCATAAAGATTAACCTTACATCTCTGTATTTGAGTTACATGCTATCAAAGTAGGAGTGTGACTGGGTTAGAAGAAGAATGAATGTTGCCAAGAGGGAAATAAAGGGACATAGGAGACTTTGTGTGTCTTCTTTCAGTATGTACCATGCTAGATAGAAGCATGATTTCATTATCATCTTTATTTAGAAATTAAGTCTACTTCAAGGGGAGTGTATTGATGCCAAGTTGACAAAGAACGAGCTGCTGGATTATCATGTGCTGACTTGATTAATCTGGAAAATACATTTCCCAGAATGCCCTTCCTTGCAGCTCCAGGTGGGAGCCAACCAAAAAACTTAGATGAAATCTGGAAGATGGAAAGGAAGTAGTGGCCATTACACACACAAGGTTTCAAGGTCAGATAATTGGTCATGGACAGGGAGCCTGGCAAGCTCCAGCTTTCCTGACTCTCTTTCAATCAGATTGTGGCTCTTCCTCCTGTTGGCTGGCCCTACTGCCCAACAGTAGTGCCAGACCTATACTGGATGCTGGACTGTGGATCCACACAGGTGGCAGTTACACAGAGACAACAGATTCTCATAGACATCTCTATAAGCTTCCTTCTGGTGGTTCAATGGCTAGCAGGATGGGCTTGGCTTCTCAGATATTCCTACGAACTCTTGCCTATCCACTCCCACCAGTGCATCAAGGGGGTTAATTAGTAATTGATTTCTTATCCTTCAGTTAGCTTTGCCAGACCTTTACTTCTGTTATTGTATGAGATCTAGTTCCTATGATAAATCCCTTATCTCATAGCACTCTATTTCCATGGCTGACGCTCACTGACTGTTCAAAATTCTCCATGAAAAACGTTCACTCTGTCCAACATCCGATGCCCTGAATATCCCTGTGTTCTCATAGTAGGCATAGCTGTTCTCATATGAGGAGGATCTGAAAGCATTTTGCTTGCTTTCTTGAGACTGGTTACAAGGAGAAGAATGAGGACTGCATATACTCTCTGTTAGAGAAACTCCATATAATTTTGGACTTTTCATGTTAAGTTGCTAGGCCTTGGGAGGATAGACATCTAATGTTTTATCAGACAATAGAGAGAAGTGCCAGAGAGCTCTCTTAATCCACCCAATACAGTTATTATGAAAAGTAAAAAACTAAAGTAAATATTCTTGCTAGTGGTACTAACTGTTCCTTATAAAATGTGTGATGTGTATTGTTAGAGTGACTTATTTGTTCTTGAATGACGTATTATTTTTTTCCTGAATAGTAGGTACTTCCCCCACAAAATACCAATATCCTTGGCCTCAGAGGAGAGTAAACTTATGTATCAAGTGCTACTTATCAGTTCCTTTGGGGTATAACTGGAAAGGACACCAAATCATAAACCAAATGACATTTTATAAAAAGGAGCCATCTCTGAAAGACAGTGAAAACATTTCCAAAAACTCAAATAAATTATTGGCTGGTCAAGTGCTCATTTCTATTTGGAGTGAGGGTTATGGAGAATTGAGTGCTTTTTCTGTGTATTTTTTGGAATTACATCTCATGCTGTTTGAGAGAATCCACAAGACCTGCATTTGCCATAGTCCCAGCAAGAAACACATGTCATATGAGCCATGGAGACTTTAATGGAGAGAGAATTTACAGCTCCCAGGGCAGGGTCAGAAGGAAACCAGTGAAGCTTAGGGAAGCATCCCTGGCCTAGCAGCAGTGGAGAACCAGGGCCTAGACCCAAAGGAGCCAGAGGAACAAGTGGTTTTGAAAACCTGGAGATCTAGAGGAGGCTGAGACTGGTCACCGCCTCACCCTCAGCCCAACGGTGAGGCTGGGGAATAAATATCTTTGCTTCAATGTCTCCCACCCACCCAGCCTTGCCAAGGCCTCCCACTGGCCAAACTCAAGCATAAGCCAGAGGTCAAGGGACTCTGGTTGGTGCAGACCATAAAGATCAGCCTCCTACGGCATATGGCAGGATAAGGAGCAGATCTACGGGCAAACAGATAATGTCCATGCAGGCTATTGCAACTATATTTATATGGGAAAAACCAATCTTCCTATTCCAGATGTAACCATCATGCTGTTACATGTTACTGGGGGTAATTTCCTGCCATGGATATTGCCTGAAAGGGCACTCTACATTCGGTAGTACCGGTGGGAGGCCGGCAAGCTCCTTATGGGTTGCCCATCAAGGTTAGAAGATCGTAAGTATTCATTCAAGTAAAAACTACTTGGTGGTTTTGTTTTGAAGTCTCTTTTGGATTTTGTCTTTTTTGAAGAGCCACGAGGGCATAGATTTTTAATTTAGCTGCTGTGTGCTGTGCATCAAAACCGACTGGCCTATTTTGGGACTCCTACATTTGAATGGCCCAGAAGAAAACATAGTAATTTTATTATTATTAGAAAATTTAGTTGAGCACAAAACTTATCCATGATGTCTTCACAGTGACCTTTGGTATTCGTAAAAGAATTTAATTGACTATTGCCTTTTCTTTATTCACCACTGGAGTTTTAATTGAATGTTACTGCATTGCAAATACCAAGTGATTCTAATGAGCACAACCAAGCCATTTTAATCAGGTAAATGGCATTCAATAACCACAAAAAGTCTTTGGATTGGCTTGTGCTGAAAACTAACAAGGGTTTCCCTGTGACGGTGGGTCTTGCAGCAACCAGGCCTCATGTTCCTACCCATCTGCTGACTATCGCAGGCTGGGATTTCCTGCGGCAGGAGGCGGGAGTGCTGTCACTGGAAATGGTAGACCACAGCTCTGCCATTAAAGCTCTGGAGTAATTTCTCTGTCCTTGATGAAACTACTTGGTTACTGTCCCCCTACGTCAGGTTTTCACATCTTTTGTCCATTTGATTTTTCTCCTGCTTCACGCCTCTGCTAAGATATTTATATCCAAGGCTCTCATTATCTCCTTGCATCTCACAGCTTTGTCTGATGAATGATTATAAAGGAAAATCCTGGGAAAGAGCAATTGTTTTGGGGCACCCAGGTGGCTCAGTGGTTGAGTGTCTGCCTTTGGCTCAGGTCGTGATCCCGGGTCCTGGGGTCACCACAGGGAGCCTTCTTCTCCCTCGGCCTGTGTCTCTGCCTCTCTGTGTGTCTTTCATGAATAAATAAATAAAATCTTAAAAAAAAAAAAAGCAATTATTTCTTGCAATTTCTACCAAGGTCTCTTAATAAAAAGGAAAGTGAATTTGCATTTCTAGGATTTGGGACAAGCTTGGGACAAGGGAGAAGTTGGATGCATTCCATTGTAAACAGGAAATTCCTTTGCAGATTCATGCCTTATGGATAAAATTTGTATGGGTTTTTCACTGTATGTCATGATATCATTGAACATAAAAATAATAGTTTCTACAAATCTGAAAGAATTGAAGTTCCAAGAAGTTCCATGTGACACATTTTTCCATGGCCTCACATACCCCTCCACACCACTGTGCAATATTACATGAGAAGCACAAATCCTTACCTACCACATTTGCAAAAATTAAACACTACACATATGCATGCATACAACTCCCAGGGTCATGAGGGTTTTTGACTAGTGGGAAACAAACTTTCTGGAAGAAAATTTATGAAGACAAGTCAAACATTTGTATATTTTGACCGAGCAATTCAACATTGGGAATTTGTCCTAAGAAATCAATCACAGACGCAAAGAGAGAGTTACAGAGGTGCGTGTTACAGGAACAACTTACGTGACTGAAAAATCAAGAACAAAGAACAAGTATGTACAACAGTAGTGAATCTGTTGGATAAACTATTGTATATCCAAATGTGGGCTCCCATACCCTGGATACATTGGCTGATTGCCCAGCACACCCACTTCCCTTTTCCTGTCCTAATAATATTCAGATTTTGTTAAGGAATTCATCCTACCTCCTGTGCACCCAGCCCATATAGTTCAGAAGATGACCAAACCCTCAGCTCGAGAAATAAACCCAGTTTGGTTAAGCCCATCAGGCCATGCCTGTTTCTGTATGATAGTTACTAGTTCGGAGAAAGGCCCAAACCAACCAGCACAAAGGATTTCCTATATTATGTCCTCCTAGGTTTGGCTTTACCTGTATTTTGTGCTTTTTCAGTTTGGGAGGCTGGAAGGCTAAACACTGCATGTTCAAAACTCCTTGTAATCAGGTTTCTCCCAAGAAGTCTTGCAATTGAATATATCCCCATGAGATTTAGAAACTGGCAGAGGGGGCCCTAATTTTCTGTGATAATGTGGACAGAGGTGAGTGCTTGCAATTGCCAGCTACTCTGAACTGTTTCCTTACCTGTTAAGAAGGGGTAACATTGGGTACCTTGCATGGAAATGTGGTAAATGCCCTTATAGCCTCTTTTTCAATATTTATTTCCGTGACCGTGGTGTTGCTCAACTGAGTGGCCAAGTACTCTTGGGTACAGACGTCTGTTTTTTTCAAGCCTTCTTGCACCCAGGGCCAGGAGCCACCCTAAGGACCTGAGCAGTGGGTCTTGACATTCAGATCAGAGCAGATCTGCTCAGACCCACATTGGCCACACCGTGAATGTGGCTTCTTTATGAACACAGCCTGCACCCATCTGATAAACTTCCAGACAATAGAGATTTGATTTTCCCACAAGAGAAACCAAACAGGAACTCAGGAACTGAGAGGTGATCTTGGACCTGATAACTTTCTAATTGGGACCTTCACCAAATGCATTTACCCCTCAAAACCTCAGTTTCTTCACCAGAAGAAAGAAAGGTTTAGAAGAGGTGTTCGCTAAAGTCCTTTCCAATTTTAGAAGCTCCATGTATTAATGAGACAGAATGATTGGAAGTTTTTATGTAAACTCAATCTTTATGCAACCAAAGGTCAGCTCTGAGATGTTTTTATTTCATAAACATCTTTTTAAACATGCCCTTTAATGAATTTGCCCTATAGTACAAAGCATAAAAAAAATAACAAAGTGTATTGCACAGAATAGCAAAGTCCAGGGCATATTATAAATTGACCTATATGAAAATTGCCAATAATTTATTTTATTTGACCAATATATCAGAAATTTTATGTGACTTGATCTACTAAAATTATTAAAATGCAAAATTTTTAAATGTGTTGTGTTTGTCCTGAACATCAACAGATTAGGAAAAAGCTGAGGATTTTATGTTTTTCTCTGATTTTACACATCTATTCCAAAAATCTTTCTTTTCTTTTCTTTTTTTTCTTTTCTTTCTTTCTTTTCTTTTCTTTTCTTTCTTTTCTTTTCTTTTCTTTTCTTTCTTCTTTTCTTTTCTTTTCTTTTTTTTTTCTTGGTGTGGGATTGGGATGGCAGAAGAGAAAATGATACTGCTATATTCCAATTTCTGTAAAAGACAAAAAATATCTGAACTGCTTCTTATCCTCTAGCCAGAAAGCTCTCCGGTTCATTCCCCCCTCCAGAGCAGAGTCTAAAACACACCTGACCTGTGTTCTGACATCCTGTCTGTCCTGGTTTCCCGGGCACCCTAAGGGTGGCAGTCATTAAAAGTTATGGGTTACTATGGGCAACTTGTTTGCTTAGCTCCTTTTAATCCAATTCTTTGGCAGAGTGGCCATAGGACCTGTGTCTATGTCAACAATGCTTATAATAATAGAATAGCAAACACTATATAGCACTTCTTATGTGCCAGGCACCAGTTGAAATGTTTCATGTGAGTTAAATCGTTTCATCTTTAATTTCCTGCAATAGCTCTACTATTATGACCCACTTTACAGATGAAATATGGAGGCATATAAAGTTTTCCTTACATGCTCAAGATCCCACCACTAGCAAGTGGCCCAGCCAGGACCTCAGCCTCTATAACCTCAGGCTCTGTTGTCTCTCTGGTTGGGCTTCCACACAACTCATTAGAATGTCAGTATCACAGGAGCAGTTTCAGGGTGATTATCAGGACAAGTGTCTGCCACCCGTAATCACAGACAAGTTTACAAATGTACCTTACAATGAGTAAGAATGTACTCGTTCCCATTATGTGTTTGTCCCAGTGTAGCTGGTGAACCCACGTGTTCCACGTGTATCTGTGTGGGGATGGAGTTATGGGTCCTATACCTGCAGCAGGTCACGATTTCCAGGTTGGGGGAAGCAGGTGTGTTTTCTACAAGGGTTTTCTCTCTGAGATTCTCATGCATCGCTCTAGGGACCTCCACCATTTGAACCCCTACCCTGGATATTGATGAAGAACCGAATCTACTTCAACTATTTTGATTGTTTTCCAAGATTTAGATGGATAAAAGAGTATCATATTATTTGATAAATTTACCAATAAAATTACTCCGATTCTTATTTACCTAGTACATTACTTATCTATGTATTCTACATGAAAGGACTTTTAATCAGTAAACCTATAGTGATTCTACATTGAACTGTATGCTGTTGTCTTCCAAGCCCCACTTTGAAGACCTCTGGCAACATTTCCTGCTGCTGCCTTTTCCCCTGAAGGGTTTGGTGATTGGTCTTCTGTGCTGATTCACAGTGAAACCAGGGTGGCTGTTTGGTGGAACTGCCAGTCCCAAACATGGGGGAATGTTACCTGGAGCCCTTGCTCCATGAGTCCTTCAAGAGGGGACCACTAATTCCAAATGGAGACAATAAAATTTTAATCACTCCGGGGTCTGTCATCAGAACCTGTAGGTAGATGATGGACTGTCTGTAGAATTTGGCTATTTTCCTTGGACGCATTTTGAGTCTGAGAAATTTGCACATCTTTTTCCTTAGCAAGCAAGTTATTTTAAGAAAAGAAAATGCACTCACCCTTTTAATGTTATAAATTTGAGGTAAAACTTTGTCTTTCAACAGCAGGTTTGGGGTTTTGTGATTTTTTTTCAATTTACTCATGGGGTAACATCTGTCCCTAATTTATCCACCAATGTTCTCCTAGGGACTCACTGGGTTTGGGTATCCTATCCTTAAGTCAGTAATGATTTTCCTACTGTAACGAGGCCTGAAAGGACATTTTATCTAGTGGTGTCCTTGGTGGCCCCAGAGCAATGATTTGAAAATGTGCCCATGGTTATCCCTTTGCCTTCTTTATCCAGACTGGAGTCCTTTCATGGCCCCATCTGGAGTGCTTGGCTCAGTGTTAGAAAAGGACAGATTCTTAGCAGATGGTTTATCAGAGGACCTGGCATATGGTTTGGCCAAGAAAACCTCATCTAATACCTTTGAGTTTGGGAAGCTTTAGAACGAAGAGTAGCTCCAAGCCTTTTGCACAACCAGGAATGTTTTGCTTATGAGATTTTTAAAACGATGCTCAAGCAAATATCTAGACAACAGCAGTTCTGGAAGTCTGGCACCACAGACAGTACCAGACTAATGTATCCCCTAATCCAACTTTACAACATCTATAAAGTTTGAGATAGGGCCAGTGCCTTGGGCCTGAAAGGAATGAGGCTAATCCTAAAGGATCTCAGGCATTTTGACAAATGATATTTTAATTTAAAAGATGCGACTCTGATCAGCATGTGACATCTTGCATATCTAGTAGGCTGCTCAGAATTACTATGTTCAAGCCTGTGCCTTCCACAGTCTTCCCCATCTCAGTTCATGGCACCTCCATCTTTCCGTTTGCTCAAGCCAAAGACCATTAGAATCCTTCTTGATTCCTTTTTCTCTCATAGGCAATAGCCAGTTCGTCTGGCTGTTTCTTTTCAGCTGTACCTTCAAAGGATGTATCCCATTCAAATTCTTGTTATCACCCTGGTTGGAGCTGCCATTAGCTAGCAACTGGATTATTGCAGGTGCCTCCTACCATGCACTCAGGCCCCCAGTTTTATTAACCTATTCCCTGCAGAGGACTTTGAGTAAGACTGCCAAAATCTATGTCCCGACATGTCACTTCTCCATTGGAAACACTCCAGTGGCTTCCCATTGCACACATTGTGAAAGCTCCTGCAGGCCTGCAAGGCTTTGCATGATGGAGCCCCCTGGGTCTGCAGTGATTGCTCATTGCTCTTCCTGGCTCATTGTGCTCAAGGTACACTGGCCACATTTCTGGCCCATGAACTCTGGCCCATACACCCATCTAGGCCCTTTGACCCTGCTCTCCACTTTTTGGAAGCATTCTTCCCACAAATATCCAGCTTATTCTGCCCTTCCCCTCCTTCTTCCCATCTTCCACTTAATTTTTTTTTTTAGGATATTTATCACCATCAAATATACTATAAATTTTTCTCATTTTATTTTTTCCATCTTCCTTTACTAGAATATGTATTTTTTAAGGGCAGGGAGTTTGTCCCCATTTTAAAAAAGTATTATTTCTGTATTACCAGCACCAAGAGCTTGACAGAGTAGGTGCTCCAAAAATATTTTTTGAATAATGAATCATATATTTCCCAAATATGTGTCAGGCATTATGCTAATTGCTAGACATACAGAAGTGAACAAAACAGATGATGATTCATGACCTTATGGACCTTAAAATCGAATAGGCAGGAAAAATGATCATTTAACAACTAGACACAAAAACGAGAGTGGAAGCATTTTGAGAACTTGAAGAACTGGAAAATGCTGAATGAGGCTGCAGAGTATGGTTTTAGAAATGACACTGTGAGGCAGAAATCAAGTTATTGGGTTTGGGGTGTGACCTCAGCTAGGAGAAGCTATTGAAGGCTTTTAAACAGGTGAGTGACATGGTCCTACATGTGCTTTGTAAAGTCCTCTTTAGCAACAGCGTGGGTGTGGATTGGAAGAGGTCAACAGTGCATTCAGGGGGACGCGGTGAGAGGTCATTGCCATAGTACAGGTGGAAGGTGATGGCCACAGACCTAGATAGTCAGCAGTAGGTGGGCAGGAGCCTAGTACCAGTCTGAATAGGGCTTGGGTGGATGTGAGTGGTTAGGGAGTAGAAGGGTCAACGGTGAGCCCCCGCTTCTGCCATTTCCGGAAGCACACTGCAGTGGACGGGGTTGGTGGTGGCCAGTGGTAAGTGGGAATGGGGAAAAGATGGTGAGTCGCTTCTGACATAGAACACATGCGACCCCCGTGGTGACATCCCTGCTTAGGAGCAAGTGTGAGCAGGAGCAGCGGATTAAAGGGGTCCGTAGTTTATAGTTAGGTGCTGACCCAAGCCGCTGGGGCAGGTGGGATCACAAGGAAAGAGTTAAGATGAGTAAGGAAGGAGCTCCGGGCCAGAATGCCACGTGATTGCACTTCGCGGGGCAGAGGCTGCCATGGAGTGCCATGGAGATGGGGGAGGACGCTGCGTCAAGGAAGGCGGGCAGGAGAAATGTACCGAGGAGCGCCTAGCTGGGCAAGCACCAGGGTCAAGAGGTCGCGCAGAGGGGCTGCGCCTGTGGGTGGCGGTGGGGCAGCACCATGGAGAGAGCTTGGGCAGCAGGGGCAGGCGGGAGCAGGGGAGCAGGGGGTAGGGGAGCGGAGGGGAGCAGCCGGGGGCAGGGGAGTGCAGGGGAGCAGCAGGGGGGTGGCGCTGGGCCCCAAGTGCGCTCCCTGCTCTGAAGGCGAGGAGACCTGCTGGGCCAAGCTCGGGGTGGGTGGGGATGGACAGGGGTGAGAGCTCAGCACGGGGACTGGGGCCAGGGCTCAGAGCCACGAGTGGGGCACGTGCGAGGGCCGGAGAGCCCGCCCTTAGGCTGCTCCCAGCGATTTGCCAGCCGTGCCCAGGAGTATGCATGTATTTATTTATTTATTTTTAAAGATTTTACTTTAAAATAGATAGAGAGGGCACTGGTGGCGGAGGGGCAGAGACACACAGGCAGAGGGAGAAGCAGGCTCCCTGCAGGGAGCCTGAGGTGGACTGGATCCCGGGTCTCCAAGATAGCACCCTGGGCCAAAGGCAGGTGCCAAACCACTGGGCCACTCGGGGATCCCCAGGAGTTTGTATTTAGTCCTGGGTGTGACCTGAGGCGGGGGGCCAGCTGCAGCGGGGGAGGTACCACCCGAGCTCACCTGGACGGTGCTGCAGGTGAGGGAGAGCAGATTCCCCGTCACCCTGCACCCCGATGTGCTCAGCGTGGTGGCCAGCTGTCCCCGGGCTCACAGGCTCTCACTGGGCACCTTCAGAAAGAGACAAGAGAAGAAGTAGGCGTCACCTAGAGAGGGTAGAGGCGGAGACAGTATCCCACATCCCTGAGAGGGTGGAACTCGAGATGGTGTCCCTCATCTCCTGAAAGCCCATGGCATTGACGGAGACATGGAAGGTCCGCACCCTGACTCATGAAGCCCAGTGTAGACTGCCCCATCGCCCACCCCTCTCCCACTCCCTCCTTTCCGGCCACACTTGCCAGCTCAGCTCCTGTCTCTGGGGCTTTGAAGCTGCTGTTCCCTCTGCCTGGGATGCTCTTCCCCTGGGGATCCCATAAGGTCCTCTCCCCCACCTTAGACAGACCTTCACTTAAATGTCACCTTTCTGAGAGGCCTTCCCTGGATACCAGACCCAAATTTTCAATGCCTCAACAGAGCGGCATCTACTTGGTGTGCGACATACCAGTTTACTGCATTTTGTTTATTCTCGTCTCCTCCACTGAAATGAAAGCTCCCTGAGAATAGAAGGTCGGGTCCAGTTTGTACCGATGACTCCCTTAGTGGCCAAGACACATGAGTCAGATTTAACTGGGCGTCAACATTTTTCGGAAGAATCCTGGGACACTGCCTTATCACAGGTGGTGGCTGCCTTCCTAACCCTGGCACACACTGGTCACGCAGCAATTAGCCGTTGAGTGACTGAACACTCGTGATTGGTTTTAGGCAGGAAAAAATGACGTCTCTCTCACATCTCTTTCATTTTGGCAGGAGAAAAGAAAGAAAGAAAGAGTGCTTGCCAATTTGTGGCAACTTTTCGAGAACATTCCTGTCCAATGGTCTCTACTTTCTCTGTAGATTGGCAAGTAAAGGTGGGAGTGAAGGTAGCGTTAAAAACCTCTCTTTCATAGGAATGAGAACCAAGCCCAACAAAGAATTGCCTTCCCCTGGGGAATGTTTAAAGGTTGCTTCACTAAAGCGGCCCATAAACAACCCAAAGAAACCTTGATGTTCGTGTAAGAAACCTGCAGGGAGAGGCTTTGTTGGCTGTGGAGCCAAGAACGAACACCCCACAGAAACAGAGCAATGGTAAGGGCAGTGCTGAGGACAAGGCTGATCTGCATGACTTGGAGTGAATGGTGGTGCTAATGTGCCTGGTTGGAAAACATCCTTCATCAGCAACTGGCAGGCCAGCTACAGGCATGGAGAAGACAGGTAGTTGGAATTTTCCAGGTGTGGTGATGACTGGATAAGTGATTGCAGCTATTTGAAAGAAAGTAGTTGAAAAGGAGACCCACTGGATCTGATCTGGGTCAGTAGGAGGTAAATACAGAAGGAGGCAATGGATGGGGGGCTGGCGGGGCATCGAAGTCATGTCCCTCCCACAAGGGCACAGCTCTGTCTGCTGACCTTCTCAGAAGACTCTATTCTTAATCTCACTCCTGACATCTCTAAAGGTTGGGAGACGAGGCTATCTTACCCAACCTTGATGCAATCGTTCTCTGTAAACCTTCCATCATTCCTTCATGGCGTGCACAAAATAGAAGTTGGAATTAAGGAAATAGAGAAGTCTGTGATAACTCGGGTTTTTGGGCAATGATGGTTAGAGATAGGTAGCCAAGAGGTAGGGAATATAGGAACGGAACCAGGCCTGGGATGTGGATAATGAATTCCATTTATTAACATGTTCAGTCAAGATGTGTATGAGACACCCAGAGAAGAGGATCCATAAATAGTTGGGTCTGTGACTCTGGAGTACAGCCTACTAGCTGGGGAAAGAGCTGTGGGTCAAGGATGGATATTTATAAATTATCCATATATACGTGGTGATTGGAACCAAGAGAAAAAATATGTAGAGTGAGTAGAGAGACAAGGTCGGGACCTGCCGTAGGGAACACCTGCGCTGATGGTCAGGACGTGCCATAGGCAGAAGAATGTCCAACCAAGAAGGTTGAAAAGAAGGCGAATGAAACTGGGAAGGGTGTTACAAAGACCAAAGGAGGAGGGTTTGGAGAGCAAGGAGAGAGTCCACAGGGACCAGTGCTACAGCAGATCGGGTAACACGGGGACTGAAAAGTGAGGCCACTGGGCACCTTGATGAGGGGACTCTGAGGCAGCAAACCTCCCCCGCCCCCCGAGCTACGAAGGCTGCAGCCTCTCTTTTGCAGGAATGAGAACCAAACCCATCAAAGAATTGCCTTCCTCTGGGGAATGTTTAAAGGCTGCATCACTAAAGCAGCCCCATAAACAGCCCGAAGAAACCTTGATCTCACCAAGAGTCTGTGCTGTAGATCAAAGTCATATAAACACACCTCCCTGACAGAAGAACGTTCTGGACACAAGCCCCAATGTACTGCCCTCTGCCCACTGTGCACCTGTCCCGGGAAGCCCTGGCTCCCCGGGGGGATTGCAAGCGCTGCTCCCCATCTGAGGTGGCTGCCGCAGGGGACACTGAGCTCCGAAATGAGGCTGGATGACTGCTGGTCCCAAAACCTGTTGGAGAAACTCGGGCAAACAGTGGCAGCTGGATTAGATGACCTTGCGGTTATTTTCAACCCAACAATTCTTCTGTCCTCTGAAGGAGGGCTCATTCCTGTTACTAATTTTGTTGTGTTTCCCACGGGGATTCTGTTACAGAAGACTTGGCTCTGATTTCCCCTGAGGGGTCCTTGGGCTGGCTTCCCCTCCCTGCCTGTAGGTCCCCGTCTTTCATCCCTTCAGCCCTGGCCGGGATGTGCTAATGGGGCCGAGTCTCTCTCCTCTCGCAGCTCCTCCTTGGACCCTTTCCTTCCCCAAGTTCATGCTTTACCATGTGGGGCTTAACATGGGGGACTGTATCTCGGAGGGTGGGGGGCGGAGGGCGGCCCAGGGTTGGGTTTGAGGAAAGGCCATGGCTGCGCGGACCCAGAGGCGGGGTGTACCTCCCACCACGTTCTTTCTTCACACCTGCTTCAGCCCCCACCAGGGGGGCCCCGAGCTCTGTTCTTTTTTTTTTTTTTTTAGATTTTTATTTATTTATGATAGTCAGAGAGAGAGAGAGAGAGAGAGAGAGAGAGAAGCAGGCTCCATGCACCGGGAACCTGACGTGGGATTCGATCCCGGGTCTCCAGGATCGCGCCCTGGGCCAAAGGCAGACGCCAAACCGCTGCGCCACCCAGGGATCCCCCCCGAGCTCTGTTCTTAGTGCTGCACCCCTCCATCTAGTCCACCCAGGCTTGGGGTACTGCTCTTGCCTTCGCCGCGTCGCCGCGAGACCCAGGAGCGCTGGTGAAGTGGAAGGCGAGGCTCCCTTTGGGGCCCCAAAGTCCTGCGTATTAAGGAATTGGGCTGTAGGCCCAAGTGCAGGGGCCACAAGGCGGAGGGCAGAAATGGGGTGAGTTGGGGGCGGCTGCAGGCTTGAGGCGGGCCAGACCCCTAGGAGCAGAGGCTGTTTCCAACGTTGCCCTTTTCTGGGTTTTCCCTGGGAGTCCTGAGAAGGAGCCCTCCTCCCGGCGGGACGCCCGGGGGCCTGTGACCGCGCAGCTCCCCCTCCAGGCTCGCCGCTGCCCACCCCCGCCCCCGGGCCCCGGGGGGCTCTCCACCCCCTCCACCCCTCCAGGGCCCAGCCTGCAGCCAGGTGCTGGCGGCTCTCCGGTGTCTCAAGTCCACCTTGGCCCCTCGGGAAGGTGCCCTCCGTGCCCCAGGTGCTCCGGGGCGGGGGGCTGCGGCTGGGCAGTGAGGGCCTCGGCACCGGGTCTCCCCGGCGTCCCAGCCCCCGCCTGTCGGCCCAGCGCCGCCCCCAGGCGCCCAGCACCCAGCACCCAGCACCCAGGGGGCTGCGCCCTCAGGCTTCTGGAGCCTTCGCTGTCCCCCGCCGTGATCTCGGGGCTGCGGGGTCAAGGTCGCCTCGGCGTCCGCGCGGGGTGGGCTCTGCCTGCGATTCTCTTTCTGCCTTCACCTACCTGCCCTCTCCCTGTCTAAAAAAAAAGAGAGAGAGAGAGAGAAAGAAAGAAAGGGAAAGAAAGAAAGAAAGAGAAAGAAAGAGAGAGAAAGAGAGAGAGAGAAAGAAAGAAGAAGAAAAGCGAGCAAGCAGGCAAGCAGGCAGGAAGGGGCCGCCCGGGGCAGGGGCCGCTGGAGGGGACCGGAGGCCCAGCCGCAGCCCGCAGCCGCTGCCGGTGACCGGGTGGACCCTGGGCCTCCAGGCCGGGTGAAGACGCGCTCGGGCCTGTCCAGCTCTAAACGTGCCGCGTCTACACTACATCCGGGTTTCCGCACCTGGGAGCAGGTGCAAGGGAGCTGGAGCTGGCGGGCCCGGGGCGCCGGCGGGGTGTGGGCGAGAGGCGGGGGGCACCTGCCGACACGGCCCTCTCTGTCCTGGACTGTCCTCAGGCTCCTAGGAAAGGGAGCCAGCACGTCGCCCTGAGCCAGAGGACATCCTCGCCCCCCGGAGCCTCGCCCACGGAGGCCTGGCCGTGTGCCGCCCAGAGCCAGTAACATAAACCCAGGTATGGCTGAAAGGGTTGCATCATGGATAACAAAAGATGCCCCTATCACCTCTCTCATTCTAGAAATTCCAAGGGTTTTATGAATTCTGTGCCAAGAACCAATTTCTTAGACCACAGCATCCCATCATTCTATTCTCATCACTTACCATTCAGGACGTGCTCAACAAACTGTGGGATCTGTGGGTTCGCAGGTGAGGGGAGGCTTGCAAGAAAGGCGCCTTTGCCGCTGGCCCAGCGGCTCCTGCCCTGAGTGGGTGGTGAGCAAGGGCCTCTGCAGGCCCCGGGGGAGGTGCCGCGAGTGAGGTCACCAGCGTGGGTGCCCCTTGGCCGGCACCCCCGGACCCCCCTCCCTAACTGGCCCTGCAGCTAACTGCCAACTGGAACCGCCTCCGAGGGAGCGGTGGGGACGGTTGTCAGATGTGATGAGAGGGTTGGAATTTTTAGTTTCATCCCCTGACCTCCAAGAAAGGGGAGGGGCTGGGGAATTCTGTTAATCACCCATGGCCAGAGATTAGTCAACGATGCCTTACGCTGCAGAACTTCCATAAAAACCCTAAGTGGAAAGGTTGGTGAGGCCTCTGGGTTGGTGAACACATCCATGTGCCGGTAGAGTGACACACCCCAAACTGCACTCTGTGCAGACCTTACCCTAGGTACCTTTTAAAAAAAAAAAAAATGAAAAAAAAGGTTTTATTTATTTCTTTGAGAACAAGAGAGCAAGAGCATGAGCATGAGTGGGGGTGGGCAGAGGGAGAAGCAGACTCCGGCTGAGCAGGGAGCCTGACGCGGGCTCGGTCCCAGGACCCCGGGATGATGACCTGAGCTGAAGGCAGATGCCTGGCTGACTGAGCCCCCCAGGTGCCCACCCTATATGCCTCTTTATCTGGCTGTCCATCTGTGTCTGTTGTAATAATCAGATAATAATAGGCAATGTGTTCCTCTGCGATCTGTGAGCTATTAAAGCAAATTATCAAAATTGAGGAAGGAGTTACGGGAACCCTGATTTGTAGCCAAGTCTGACAGAAGCTGCAGGTAGCCTGATAACCCCCTGCTTTGGATTGGCAGCTGAAAGGGCTGGGGGGTGGTCTTGTGGGACGGAGCCTTTGACCTGTGGGGTCTGCACCAGCTCTGGGTAGTTAGTGTCAGAACTGAATTGACTTGTAGGATCTCCAGTTAGTGTCTGCAGAGAATTGGAGAACTGCTTGGTGTGGAAACCCCCACATTCCATGTTAGAAGTGTGGGGAGCAGAAAGCAGCCCATTAAATAGTGAATTGGGCAGGTAGGGCCTCTGTCCTCACTCCGGTCTTTAGATTTGGCAGAGGAGCTAAACGAGCAAAGAGCAAAGCCCTCAGACTCTGTCTCGTACTCCTTTCCCCGTTTACCCTATGCTAGTCATTCCTGCCCCTCCCTGGTTGTTTATGAATGCCAAGTGTGCTTGGTGCTTGCTGAGACCTCTGTCTAGAATGCTTTCCCCACTGATTTTCTCATGCCCCATTTTTCTGGTTTCATTCAGGTCTCTGCTCTAAGGCCACTTTCTCGTAGAAGCCTTTCTCCAGCTTGCCTATCTAAGATAGCATCTCTGCTACCCTCCAGGCCCTGACATTGCCTTATTTTTTTCCTACTGAGCTCTTATCACTTCCTATTATGTTGCATGTTTATTTCTTGTTTAGGGTCTGGCTCTGCCAACTAGGATGCAAGCTCCTTTGCAAGAGCAGGGAATTCTCCTGTTTTGCTCATGGGTCTATTTCCAATGCCTGAAACAGTGCCTGGGACATGCAGAGTAGATGCTTAAAAAATATTTGTTTCTTATATAAAATAAATAATGAGTCAACTGCACAAGTGATATCGAAATCATGGTTGCAAAAGAGTATCCCAAAGGAGAAATTACAGGACTTTGTGAGAGTGCATCATTGAGCATGAGCAAGTCTCATGATATAAACTGGGGCTCCTGAAGGGTGTCTTTCGTTGGGTTTGATGACTTGCCAAGCAGGTTGGTGGGTGTGGGACTTGGCTTCTGTGGCAGAGATGCTGGGCCTGGTTTCCACTGGGTTCCTACCACACTAAGCCTCTTGAGCTACGCTGTCCCATATGGTAGCCACCAGCCATGTGTGCCTGTTTAACTTTACTTAAATTAAATAAAATTAAAATTCACTTTCTTAGTCACACACTTCAAGGTGACTTAGCCACATTTCAAGCGCTCTGTAGCCACGTGTGCTTAGCAGCTCCCGTGTTGAGCAGCACTGGTAGATAGAGACTATCCCCATCATCCCAGGCCGCTCCATGGGGCCACACGGGTCTAGAGTGTGTTGCAAACCAGCAGCAGTCCAGTAGGTATGGCGTAAGCTAACTGCCACATTGGTGTCTGTATCCATTCCCATTAGCAGTACCAGGCAGAGAGAGAGAGAGAGCAAGTGAGGGGGGGAGACAGAGAAAAAGAGAAGAACAGGAGAGGGGGTACCTGGTTACCAATGACCCCCATGTAATCGTGTATTTCTCATGAACTTGCTCTTTCCCCACTAACGGAAACCTCCCCACTAATGTCTACCCCTGCCCCTTACCCTAAGAACCAGAATCCAACACAAGGTTGCCCTTATTCATAGGCTCCCTTTTCCTGCAGAGAAGGATGAGGTGCTTTGGTATTCTCTGCATTGGAGGAACAACGGGGCAGCTTCTGTACACTCTGGATGGAGGCCTGCCTATGATTTGTGACACCATTGTTGGGAAGCCAGGAAGTCGGGTGCATTACCCCCTTTTCAGGTTAAAGTATAACGTCTTCAGGAGAAAACTGTAGAAAGAGAAGGGCCCTTGAGCAACCAGAGCTAGATGGCCAGGGCAGGCTCTGTACTTTGTGATTCTTGCCTTCTTTGTGTTTATCCCTTTTTTGTGCTCCTTTCTGTATTTTGATTCTTTTTTTCTTTCTTTTTTTTTTTTTTTTTTTTTTTTTTGGCAAGCCCAGCCAGGCTTCGCTGTGCTGAGGATAGCCAAAGACAGAAGATTTAGTTCCCACTTGTGCCAGAGCATGTAAGGTGGCGCAGCCATTTCTGGGGCAGCCTGGTGGCAGAGGAATGTCCTGTGAGCAAGTCCCAGGGGGAAGGTAAACCCTGGCAGACAATATTGGATCCACTTGGGGAAACATTTCTTCCCACCTGGAGCTTCACCTTCCAGGGCAAAAACCTTGGATGTTTTAATAAGAGAAATGATAAGAGCAATAGGATTTAAACCTGAGGGCTGGTGGGACGCCACACCTGTGCCCCATCCAACCATGACAGTGCATGGAAACCACACATCTGTGTCTCTTACAGGACCGGTTTATGTGACCAGAAATGAAGAAAACTCAAGGGTGGAATTATTAATATAAGTAGGAATGATTTGTCATGCCCATTTGTAATAAAAGTTAGAAAAATACAATTGCAAATATTCCTCATGAGATCATATGCTAATGTTAATGTCTCGTAGCTCCTGAGGTCGTGCAGGCTAGATTTTCCTGAGCACTTCAGTGCGCCAGTTTACTGGTGACGACGGGTGACTATGCTCATTTCCAGGGATCAATTACGAGCGATGAGTTCCATGTCCGTAATAGCCTTTGTCACAGCCATTGTTCCACACGCCTCTAACTAGAGAGCCCTCTCGGTGTCACCGCAATGACCAAGGAACAAATAGGGAAAATGAACCATCAATCAATTTAATACTATCCTTTTCTTTCACACAAAAACTTCCACTAGGCAGATGATGACTGACATAAAAACTAAATCCATCTGTTTTATCACTCCTCTCCAAAAGGACAAGTGTGAGAGGCAGGAAAGAGGACAAAATATGTAGGATTAGTTTTAACCCTAGTCACTGGTCTGCTGTGGTACTAAGAGATCTATCACTTGGGGGAAGAAAATAGCCCTCTTGCAATTTTGTGCACATTTAGTATAAAATGATGTCAGTCGTCAGTAAGATCTTTGGGAGTAGGATTCTTGGAATATCCTGCTTAATGTTATAGAAAACATCTTTTAAAAGGGCCTGAGAATACAGTTAGGTCATTCATTTATTCATTCATTGCACAAATAAGTATCGAGTACCTATTACATCTCTAATGCATGCTAGACACTGAGGACACAGTGGTGAACAAGGTCCTTGCCTTCATAGGGCTTATTATTTGGGGGTGAGGGTAGGTGTTTAATAAGTGAACGAGTGAGACCAGTGTTACTAGAGAGGACCCACAGAGGGCATGTGGCTCCACTATGATAGTCCAAGATGGTGGCAGTGAGTGATGCAAGAGCCCTTTCTGAGGAACAGACAATTCAGGTACCCTGTAGAAGGTGGGAAGGATGGGGACAGATGGAAGTGGAGGTGGGCAGGGATGGGGGTAAAAGTGAGGAAGGCGCAGGCATAGGCCAGAAGGCAAGAGGGAGCAGGGAACATTTTAGGAACTTAGGTAGGAATGGCTGGTGCAGAGAAAATGGGGAGGGGGAGTGGCACATAATAGAATCGGAGAGATTGAGAAAGATCAGATCCCAGATAATCCTGTGAATCATGATGAGAAATTTCACATGCTCCAGAGGGAGACAGGAAACCTAAGGATTCTAAGCATGGGAATGGAATGCCTTAGAACGATCTGTGTGCAGCAAGATTGATCAGAAGGGTGTAAGGCCAGAGGCACGGGGGCCAGTTAGGTGACTGGTGCTGTCACCCAGGTGAAAGCCAACAGGTGCTTGGACTAGGGCAGGAGCCGCGATGTTTAGAGAAATGTGCAGACACCGAGAGACAGAACCTGCAGCACTTCGTGATTGATTAGACAGAGGGAGAGGTGAGAGCAGAGAATGAATCGGGATGGTCCCTCGGCTTCTGGCTGATGCAGTGGGGTGGATGGTGATGTTCCCACTGACTCAGGGCACAGAGGAGAGGAGCAGGTCTGGGGAGTTGAGAAGAACGTGACAAGGGTTGAACTTAAAATACTTATGGAATATCCAAATAGGGATGTCCAATGAACGTTTTGATATATGGGTCTGCTGCTTCCCAGAAACAAGGCTGCTTATCTATTCTACTTTTATCTCTAGTTCCTCAACTTGTTTGAAGAATTATGTGAAGACGCATATTATAGACAATGGCTTTGGAAAATTGCTTTATGAGTTGTAAAAATGGAAGCTAAAATGTATCCTTTAACCTCCAAATTCAACGTCTGGGAAATCATTCCAAATAAATTAACCAGAAAAAGAGAAATACCATATGCATTGAATTCTGGCTTATAAGAGCAAAAAATTAGAAATGTGTTCATATCCAACCAAAGGAGCTAGTTAAATAAATTATAGTATACCAACAAAATAGAATATTGTATATTTATAAAAAAAACAGTCATTATGGATATATTATAGCAGCTGAGAAAAATGCTTTGTC